CAAATTAAGAATTATAAACAAATTATTAATTCTCATGATACAAATATATTCATGTAAAAATTGAGAAAACTCAGAGGTTTCACACGCACAAAATCCTTCAAAAGTTCACATGCGATACCTCAATTCTGTCTCCTAAAAAAGTGATGGCTTCTCCTCCCACTAGCTTCTGTTTTTCTTGTAAAAACTTAGATACCATATTGATAAATCAATAGGTCTTATATATAGGGAGTTTGTATAGTTATACTAGAATTACAAATAGCATGTTGCATGGGACTCTTTTGGGATCTTAATTTCTTGGTAAATTGAATTTAAATCAATTTAGGATTGTAATAAAAAACCCATCAGTAAATAACAACTTTATCCAAGAAATTACAGATAAAATTGTGAAATCCCTCAAAACACAATATTTATATAATAGTCCTCCACCAACTAAAATTCCATACAAAGTCTAATCGAATTAGAATTCTTATAAACCTGTCATCCAAACTTTGTATGTGTGTCTCTTAAATATATTTAGACAATAAAAACAATTTAGAAAATAAAATTTTGATGAAATTTAATTTTTTTTAAAACTAAGATAAAATATTTATTTAAATTGACCGGCTGGATTTTTGTCTAATATAAAAGAGATACAAACTTTAATATTTTCTCTTATGATAAGAGTGGTGGTTCCTTATTAAATAACTATAAATCTTCATGTACTTATTATATAGTCTAATATGTCCGTATATATCCCATTTATTTGGCATCACCGGTTCACAATATCAAAACTAAATAACTTATACATAAGATTAAATAACATCTTTAGGTCTAAGAACCTTTTATGAATTGTGGATAGAATAATTTTTTATTTGACAGTAATTAACTTAAGATTTTTCTATATGGTCTAGTTCAATATTTGTCTTGTACAAATACTCATTATGTTACTAAGAGTCTCACGCTAGTGGTTCAAATTTACCATTCTATCACTTATAGTAGTACAACATGTGATAATCAAATTAAACATATTATCCAAAGTATGCTTATGGTTGTGAAAAATTTTAAGATCATCAAATCTTTTCATTTGATCATCCCCATAATTAATATATTAATGTATGATCTAAGAATAATAACATTTATTAAATCACCCAAAATAAATATCCATGTAAATAAATAATAAAGATGGCTTTGTAGGTCGTACAATTCTTTCAAAATGATGGGTTGGTGGAATTCGGAAAAGAAAGCTAAGAAGCTCCTCCGCACCGC